TATGTCAGATTGTGCGCTGTCTTGGGGAGGAAGGGGGAGAAAATTTTTAAACTCAAAAGCATATAGAAGTGATTGTTGATAAATCAAAATAAACACATTTTTTAAAAGAATTTTTAAAAAAGTGAGAAGACAATACATTATGCCGATCTGAGGGATGGCCAGTGAAAAGGCAAGGAGGCCAGGAAGGAAATGGAGTGAAGCGTTCGGGTCAGACAAGGCTGAAAAACAACTAAAATGTGCCAAGCCACGTGCTAAAGACTGGAGACATAAACACAAAAGAGAGACAGTCCCTGCCCTCAGAGTGGCTATCCCAACACGTGTAAGGAACAACAAGAAGGGGCAGCTAGGTGGCGCAGTGGATAGAGCACCGGCCCTGAAGTCAGGAGGACCTGAGTTCAAATCCGACCTCAGACCAAACACTTGATACTTACTAGCTGTGTGACCCTGGGCAAGTCACTTAACCCCAATTGCCTTTAAAAAAAAAAAGTTAGGAACAACAAGAAGGTCAGTCTGGCTGAACCACAGAGTGCATGAAGGGGATTCGAGTTGGAAGCAGCCTACAAAGGGCCTGTATATATAGATTTAAATGCCAAGCACAGGTCTGAAAGGGGGAAATGCCCTAGTTAACACTGGAGATGGACTTCTTTTGTTGTTGTTCACTTGTTTCAGTTGTGTCCAACTCTCCAGGCCCCAATTAGGGTTTTCTTGGCAGAGATATTGGGGGGGTTCACCATTTCCTTCTCCAGCTCACTTTACAGATGAGGAAATTGAGGCAAACAAGGTTAAGTGACTTGCCCAAGATCACACAGCCAGGAAGTGTCTGAGGCTGGATTTGAACTCAGCTCCTGACTCCAGGCACTCTATCCACTGAGCCACCTAGTTGCCCATGGTCTCCTTTACTTGATTGTGAACAGGCGTTCCCAATTTGGATCAGAGTTCTTAGAACCACAGGTTTCAGTTGGAGGGAACTTCAGGGGTCACTGATTCTAGTGGCCTCATTTCAGAGATGAAGAAACTGAGAGTTCTGGCAATCTGCCTGGGGTCACACAGATGACAAGCAGCAATAGTGGGAATTCAAACTCGGATCCTTGGACTCCAAACAAATCCCTCTTGTTCTGTGCCTTCTTATAATATATGAGGCACACGTGGATGAAAGAACAATTTCTTCTGCTAAGGGAGGGTGGCAATCGCCCCAATAATCCAAGGAGCCACACCGTCCCTGACCCTCAGCTTCTAGAACCCAGTCGCTGCCGTTCTTCACTGTGACCTTCTGTGGTTCCATTCTGAAGGGTACGACCCAGGCCAAAGAACGGGAGCCAATGGAGAGGTGGGCTCCCATGCATCTCTTCCAGACCTTACAATTTTAGAAGCAGCATTCATTACCGAGGTCCTTAAAAACTACTCTTCCCCCCAGCCCCCAAAGCAGTGTCCCTGTTGAACTGGGCAATCAGCCGAGCAGTGACATTCCCATGGTTACAGTGAGACTCTGTCTCTGGGACATAGGGACCTTCACTGGGGCCACACCGAGCTTGGCTGCCACTGCGCTTTTTTACATCCACATGGTCAGTTTCCCCTTGTGCACCTTTATTTGCAAATGCACATTTATTTATGCACTGAATGAAGGTGAGCAGTTGAGAACTCTTTATTTCTCGTGGCCTCGTAGAATACCTCTCGAAAGCTGCCCTGCCACCCTCATCAGAAAGGGAGCCCAAAGGTAAATCACCTTACAAGATGCCTTCTTACTCAATCAGCAGCCCCATCCATCTTTCCTTTGGGGAGATTCTGCACAATTACTGAGAACTTTCTGGCAACGATTCAGCGAGGATGCCAGCAGAGGCTAAGCCACATCTTCAGCAGCAGGAATCACAGTCTGTTCAAGCCCATGTCGACTACTAGCATTCTGTGAGAAATGCACTTAAGGAATCTTCATGTGGCCCTGGCGGCGAGGGACCTAACACATGCCCAGAGTCACCAGCATCAGCAGGGTGGCCGCTGACACTGAGTGACAAGTTCCAAACGGAAACTCAGTGCAAGGGACAAGTCCAAATGCACATGCCTACACACAGATGCACATACCTTGCTAAATGGATGTACAGAAATCATGCTGACTCGTTTATCTGAATAATTTAACTCATTCACACAATAACACAAGAAGTGAGCCCAAAGTCAGGAAGGGCTAGGCTCCATCCTATCTCTGATTCTTAACGGCCACCTTACTCAGGGCCAGGCTTTAACCCCTCCTCGTTGTTGGCAACTCAGACCCTAACAGGGAGACCACGTGCTGATCGGCCCGGGCAGAGAGACGATTCTCTTCACGGGGAACTCCCTACACCAAAGACATCCTACGTCCAACAACGAAATAAAAACTAAGACGTTAACCTGAACTCTCTTAAGGCCCTTAAAAAGCAGACTTTCCTTCTCAGGATTTATTCCTGAGAGCTGTCCTAGTCCTACCTCATTTTACCAATGAGGAAACTGAGGCCTACAAGGGTCACCCAGAAGGGCCTGGAGTGAACATGAGGGCTCACAGGTAGGCTTGCACCAGGTCCAAAAGGCTCTTGCCACCCTAGGCCTCGATGAAAGGCAATGCTCCCCAAAGTAACCAGCCCCTCCACCTGCGTGGGCCACCTGGTAAGAAAGCAGCAGCAGCGTGTCCAACGCTGGTTCTCACCATCTCAGAAAGGACCCCAAGAGGATGGCAAGCCTGAGTCTACACTGTCAGAGGGCCCGCAGACCAAACAGAGGTTGAGTCTAGAGAAACAGAAGACTTAGGGGGACTATGACAACTGTCTCCAAGTACCTGAGAAGGTGTCGTGTGCAAAGAGTAATGAATTAGGCCTGTTCAGTGTGGCCCCAGAAGGCAGAGCTCAGCAGTGATGGGAGGAAAGTACAAAGAAAGAGAGGGACCCGGCTGAAGCCAAGAAGAAAGCCCTCTGGTGAGCCTCCCTGAGGGCAGGGCAGTTTCCAGAGGCTGGACAGCCTGGCTTTTCCTGGGGTGGGCAGACCTAGCTGGCAGCTTCCAATTCCAAGCTCCTGGACAGGGATGCTGAATGAACACACCAGGACCAAGCCCTAAGGAAAAGGAAGGCTATTCTATTTCCATCAGATTAACAGTTTAAAATGACCAAAAACACAAAGGGTGAATGTGTCAGACAGAAGCCATTTTATGTGAAAAGCTATTTGCATGACTAACAAATTTTAAGTGTATTATACAAAAAGATCACACCAGACCTCAGAAACAGCAAAGAGAAGAGAAGCATGCTGCAGGTGCTGGGATGATCTTTCTCCTCTCTTGCTCACCCTCCTTCCAAAACATAATGAGGAGCAGACACACAAAATTCATTAAGCAACAAATTCATTAACTAAGTTTAAGGCAGCATCTCATATCTCTATTAAAATGCAAATATATTCATGTATCCTGTTTAAAAGCAATTCCAAGTGCCAGGTTTTTTAAGACTCTGACCTCAGATATTGCCCCAAACCCTTGCTGCCTGATAAATGATCTCCTTAAAACTTAATCATGCTAATTTTTCCTCCAAGAAATGGCTTAAGAAAGAAACCTTTAAGGATGAATTTTAGATGATGCATCTCTTAATAAAAAAAAAAGCCTGAAATGTATTAAATCCCTATTCCATAAAAAGGATTATGTTCGTCTCGGGACGAGACATTCAAAAGTCTTCTTGCTTTCAAACCTTCTCCAGGGGAACACAACAGGGAAACAAAATCAAAACATGGTCCTCTGGGGAGAGAGAGAACGCAGACTAGCAGAGGCTTCCCAGAAATGCTGGAGAGTCCTGAGGCACGCTGGAGGAGGGACTGTAAGGAGGTAAAGGTGGGAGAGGGGAGCAAGGAGGGCACGAGCAACTGAAGGGCACGTTTGTGAAGAAGCTGGGGGAGGGGATGGTGGCAAGGCTGAAAAGGAGGGGGAACCACGTCCCAACCCAGGCCTGGTTTAGCCAAGAGCAGGAGGTCTTAACCAGGGGTTCACGGAGAGATCCCAAGAGGGTTTTGAACTGTATGTCGAACTATTTTAATCACTGTTTTCTTTTGCATCTTATTTTATTTATTTAAAAGCCTAATTCTGAGCAGATGTCTACTGAAGTGGCTTCACCAGCCTGCCTGCCTCCCAGACCCAACCAATGGTACCAAGCCCTGTCCTCAAGGCCACAGGAAGCTATGGAAGGTCTGCATACAAAGGACCACTAGGGCTCAGGTCTTTCCAAGTAAGCCCATGAGGGAAAGGAGAAGGGCTGCCAGCAGAGTACCATGCCATAGTCATTACAATGGGGAGCAGGAACTCAATTAGGCGCTGACCTGGGGAGCGGAGACCTGCAGAATTCACTAAGCACCAGACACTAGAGTAGAGGCACACGGACAAAAATGTACCAGTCCCTACCCTCAAGAAGCTTCCACTCTAGAGCAAGTTCTATGTGCACATAAGGACGTACACCAAAAATACCAGAAACCTCCAACAGAAAATCCTGCTTGGCTTGTAGGAGCTTCACAAGGTGCCTTTACCCCGCCTTTCCAGTCTTCTCACACCTCCCACAGCACATACGCTTGGAACCAGCGACTGCTGGCCTCCCGGCTGCTGGCTTCCCATCTGCTCCTCACACAGCTCCCCACTCTGGCCATTTTCTCAGGCCGTCCTCCATGCCTGGCTGCTCTCCCTGTCCTCCTCATCCCTAGTGCCTTTTCTTTGAGAACACCCTCAAATGATTCTGTTTGTATCTTGTCTGTACACAGCTGTTTGCACCGTGAGCTCCCTGAGGGCAGGAACCATTTTCTGCCTTTCCCTCTATTCCTGGTGTGAGACTCAGCCTATAGCCAGGACCTAGCTGGCAGACACCGTGTCTGACCCAACAATCGCCATGGTCAGTGACATTCGGGGTCAGGACTGCAAAGCTAGCAAACTGTTACTAGCTCAGCCAACTTCCTCCATTCCAGGTGGGGGAGGCCTGGAAACTTTCCTAATCACTGTATCCTTGGGGTCAGTCACAGTCCACACCACACAGTAGTCAGGCTGGCTGACTACTGCCAAGGTCCCTGCACTACTCAGTCCTTGTGAATCTGCCCAGCAGCAACGATGCCAGGAGATCTAGGCTTCCTCTCCGTGGAGCTGTGCAGCCCACCCACCGCACCCTGAGCCACCAGCTTCGAGGGGAGGGAGCCCCCTCCCATGCCTGTCCAAACTGCCTGACTCGTGATCCTCTCAGCACACTTCCTTCCACTGTCCCCGCACTGGCAGCATTCAGCGCAGTGCCTGGCACGTTAACAGGCACCGAATCAAAACGCCAGCTGGCTGACGGAGACGTGTAGATGATAGCGCCTGCTTTAAGATACATCCACTCACCACAGCGTATTAACCAGCAAGGCTTTTTCTCTCTCGGTAAGAACTCTGTGTAGGCTTTATTCCCCCTCCTCCCCTCTAGAGCCTGGGTGAGCGCTTCACCTGTAGAACGGCAGAGCGGAAAACCAGAAAGCGCCTCTGCAACGCCATCAGCCTCCTCCACCTCCAGGGAGGCCACGACCTCTCCAGGCTCTTCTCCTGGCATTTCCCAGGTGACTGGCGGGTAAGCATGTGCGCACTTTGCCCCTTTGCCCCCAGAAGCAGCTCGGGGGTCTCGCCCTCTTTTTTCTGATGACAGCTTCACAGACAAACTGCCCGCCCAGACCAGAAAGGCCTCTCTGCTCCTGGCATCACAGACTAATGAGCTACAGTGGCTAACAGCGACTATGAGGAGTAAACGAGGGAATGCACCTCTCTCACCCTCTTGTCTGGCTCACCCACCTACTGCCCTCAAAGAACCCAAAGCCTTGGTCTGGAAGTGTCATACCGAGAAATCAGCGAGCGAGACCCAGACGTAATTTAAAATGTGGATTTGTTAGCGCACGGCTGCAAGGGGTATGCACCCCCAAATCAAGCAGCCCCGATCAGGGGTCGAGCTAGGGTTTATATGGAAAAGGGCATGGGAAAGAAATGCCAGGAACACTGATGAGGTAATCCACAGGTGCAGGTGTCTTTGGGGGCTATGGATGGGAAAGTACAAGGAGTATACCGGACAGGGAGGGGGATGGATCTTTAGAGTCTGGCAGGAGGAAGAGTCCTTGGGCTGGCCAAGGACACCCCTCTCCCTCTGTCTTCATGAGAAAATGCTCTGCAACAGAGGAAAGCTTTCTCACAATTAAAAAAATTGGGAGGCTTCCAGATATATGATCTGAGGGCTGGGGCCTGAGCAGCCCAGCTCTGTGTAGCTGTACCAGGGAGAGAGATAAGAGTCATGTTGAGGCCCATGCATGAATAACTGCTAGGCATAGTGTCCTTGGGCTGGGGGGTGGTTGTCAGAGACAGTGTTTCTGAGACTAGGGAGAAACTGGGGCACAAGTACAAGCACAAGCACCCGAGCACCCCATCATTACGGGTCAGGGATCACACAAACCAGACCAGGTGTCCTGGTCTCTGGTATAAACGTAATTATCTAAAGCCATTGTATTGCAAGCTTTCTTATCCATTTGCGTTGGAGGTACGGGCTGTGCTGAGCTATGCAAGAGAACATTTCACTATTGTTTAGGAGGAGAGAGGTCTGGGGCAAGATTAAGCACCAACTTTTGCTTGCCATGGCTTAAAGGGCCCTACTACCTAAAACGATAAAATAATGTTCTGCATTACAGAAGCACATGGGGCAGAGCCCGTGCCAGCTGCCATCCTGGGACCCCAAAACAAGCAGACACTGATGCGTTCTACTCACTGGACAATTCCCTGAGCATCCACATCTGCTTCAAAGGAGGTGAGAATCAAATGAGATCTGTCTGTGAAGAGGCAAGAAGGAGGTGGATGGGGGGGGGTGCTTTGCTCTTAGCCACACAAGACAAGGGGGTAAAAACAAAAAAGAAATTCTAAAATGGAAAAGAGGGATGCTGTGGCAGCTTGTGCTGACGGGGTCTCAATTTTCTCTTCATGAGGTTACCTGCTGAGTCTGAGGTGGGCAGAGGGGAGGTGAAGGGCAGGAGACAAGAAGGAGATATTTGGGGTGACCACCATAACAGAATGAGATGGGGACCATAAGAGATGAATACTCTGAGCGTGGGCAACTGATGGTGGGGCAGGCAGGGCACGAGCAAAGGAAGGTCATGTGCAGAGGGAACGTCATCGACACCTGCATGACGCGAGATGGTAAAGTTACCTAGGAGAAGGGCAGGGAACAGAACGCAAGGAAGCCAGTGAGGAAGGGACTGAAGAGCAGTATGGTGAAGGGTGGACAAGTTATTAAGAGGAACCATCCCAGCCCTCTAGATAAGAAGATAAGATATAAAGAATACGCTAAAAAGGAAGAGATTAAACCAAAGACATACTGATTAAACACCACAAATATCAGCTGAATTTTGTTTGGAATGGCCTTCTGAGGCCCCAGCTCCTGGTCACTCCCTCCCCTTCTCCCTCCTCCCCTGACCCAGGGCAGGCCCAAGGTCCTATCCAACCTATCCCCTCTCCCCCTTCTCCTTCAGTGCCATCTTTCCCCGTTTGAATGCGACCACCTTAAAGGTAGAGACTATCTTGCTGGGGTATACTTGTATCCCCAGAGCTAAGTACAGGCCCTGGCCCAGAGGAAGGGCTTCATTAAATGGCCTAGCAGCTAGCTAGAAATGAGCAACTATGCTGAAAACAAAGCTACCCTGGGCAACAACTCCAGCGGAAGCATTCATTCATGGCACTCCAAACACTAACGAGATGGTCAACAATTCCAATGCCAGCACACAGGTTTAAAAATACACACACAAAACTGAATTTCAGTCCTCAGCTACCTTGTCTATCATCACCTGAAAGTATCCAAATACACCATCAAGTCAGCAATATACCTAACTGTATCCTGGGCTTCCTGGCTGTTGAGGCTGAAACAGGATTATAAATGAACGAGATCTGACAGCCACAATCCAGCCAAATTCAGCTGCGTGCCAGGTAGAATTTGGTTTGCATCTAGAGAGTTAATGCTCCCACTTGCCTTGTAACTGAAAAGAATGTTTTCTTAAACCAAAGAGGAAGAGGCAAATGATGCCTCCTCTACATACTCTACAGAGAAATGATTGCCACAGCAGAACAAGAGAAAATTCCAGTTTTCTACAGAAGCTATGAGCGGCCTGCCAACATCTGGGGCCACAGCACCCAGCCTGCGAGGCCGGAGCCCTTGTGCACACTCACCGATGCACACGTCTATCTTGCCCTTGATAGATGCTTCATGCAGGGGCGTGTAGTTCCAATTATCCCGGGCATTTGGATCTGCCCCCTGGCACAGCAACAGGCTGACCACTTCAGCATGGCCAAAGGAGCAGGCGTTGTGGAGAGGAATCAGCCCACCGTCGTCTCGGGCGTGGACATTGGCACCCATCTGCAGTAAGTGTTCTACCACATCCTTCCTTCCAAAACCTGGAAACAAAGAAAAGGGAAGCTTATATGGTGACCTAGACTTCATCATTTCAAGTAAGAAAAGAGGTAGGAATCCACAAAATAAATAAATAATAAATAAAAACAACCAAATGAATGATTCTTCTCACATAAGTGAGTGAAATATGATGAAAAAAAATTAAAGTTTGTAAGAATAAAATTCAGGATCCCACTCAAACACCGGCTATCCCACCTGACAAAAGTTGAGAAGAAAGCTCTTCTCCTTTGGCTGCTGGCCAACACTGAAAGCACACCTTTCATGTTTTATGTCACTCACAAATACCTGTACACGCTAAAAAAAAACCCAAAACAAACCAAAATCTTTCTCTCCCAAAGTTCCAAAAAACTGAAACTCCAATCACTCAACTTTACCACAGAGAGAAGAAAAGGAAAACAGGTAAATCTGAGAACTGTGGTGAATAAAGAAACAGACAAGATTTTGTGGTACAATGATTGAGGGGATTAAGAAGAAAAAACTCAAGCATGATGCCAAGGTTTCTCTCCAGTCAGAAATCAGTAGTATTATTAGGAGATAAAATGGATAGGAAGGAGGCCCACAGTTCAAGGTGAGCCATCAAAGACTGCTAGATCACAAGTCCAATTTTGGACATAGTAAGAATTTCAGGGGAAACATCTAAGGGGAGAGAGAAAGACAGTAAGAGAGAGAGAGAGCGAGAGAGAGAAAATACATATGTGAGAAGTCAGATCCAGGGTTATCAGTCTGAGAACCACTGACACAGGTAAGAGATGAAATCAGAGTATGTAAGCTGAGTCAGATAACAAAAATCTAGAGCCATATAAAGGGGCAAGGACTGAATCTTTAGGGAAAAGCCCATGGGTTAGGGGAAAGATGAAGGAAAATGAAAATTAAACAGTGGAGATAGCACAAGACTCAAAGGACTTCATGGTCATAAAAAACAAAGAAGGACAGTTGCACAAAATGCAGTCAAAAATGGCAGATCTTGTAGAAAGTCTGAAGAGAAATGACAACTTAGAGTCAATGAATTAAGCAAGAAGGTGATTTTGGTAACTTAAAAGAGAGTGATTTTAGAGAGCAGGGAAAACAATTCAGACAGTTCATTTCAGATACTAACATTTTAGAATGGTAATTTAAGGATCACAATTTCAAAATATTAAAAACAATTTATTTCTAGCCCTTACGTTAAATTTTTCCAGTTCTATAGGTTTGTGTTTCTAGTTCCATGCTAAAAAATTCCCTTGGATTTTCCTTTAAAATTAATGTTGGGTTGTGGCATTTTAAATAAAAAAATTAAAAGGCAACAAGTGGCACTTCCATCATTAAAGGAATGGATCTGCTATCTAAACTAAGAGCTAAAAGGAAGACAGTGCACATTTAAAAAATGATTTATAGCCAGTTTGCTTCTAAATGGATAAAAAGTAGCTCATTACATATCTATTTTACTACACTGGGTCATGCAAAACACATGCATTCTAATATGGTTATTTACAAAGAATATTTCTGTAAAGCAAGTTCTATGTTCTCACGGACTTAATATTGCAAAATTAGAACCGTGCCCGCCTATTCAAGATTCCCAAGATGGAGGTAAAAATGGATAGTGACAAGTCAAAATGTCCAGCCCTCCCAGCCTAGCAGGCCTCCAGAGCATCAGCACGCCCCCACCTATTCACGTGGCCTTTTGAAAGACCTGTACGTGGTACAGCAGAAGAGTTCTATTCCACTTTATTGCGAGTAGTCCTCACCAAACAGTGTGCCTCCATAACGCCCCAAGAACTTTTCTCTCCTATCCTATTTTGATCTGATTATTACACTGCAATGTCACATTTCACCAAGAGATATTATCTAACATGACATACTGTTGCATAACACATTGAAAATTCCACATATTAACTTTACTTAGAACTTGAAAGCTATCTGAACCATAAAAAGGAAGAATGAAACCATCCACCCTCAACATCATATACGGTTTTTTGATTAAAAAGCATCATCTAGGGGGCAGCTAGGTGGCGCAGTAGATAGAGCACTGGCCCTGAAGTCAGGAGGACCCGAGTTCAAATCTGGCCTGAGACACATAATATTTCCTAGCTGTGTGACTCGGGGCAGGTCACTTAACCCCAACTGCCTCACCCCCCCCCAAAAAGCATTAAATACATGTGGCCTCAACTGCCTAAAAAGGCACTAAGGACAGCCTTTGGTTTGTCAACAAGGTTTTTTGACTGTACAGATTACCAGAGCAGCAGGAGAATTTGCTTGGCCTGAGAATTCCAATTCAACAAGGACAAACCAGAGTGGCTGTCCAGAAACCAAGGGCAAAACAGAACTGGAAACTGTGCTCTCAGGCCCCAGGGCAGAACCAGGAGTGAGCCCCACAGCTGCTCGCACTCAGTATCTCCCCAACGCCACCTACGCACCTTGAGGGCACAGACTACTAGTCAATGTCTAACAGCGTGAGGCCCACAGTGGGCACGTTTGCTGACTGAGTCCCCATTCAATCAATCTGAACCTTCTGAAAAGAAGTCCAGTCACGATTCTGAAAAAGGAAACAGAGCACTCACAAGTTTAAACCAGTCAGCGCTGAGATGAACTTGGCCTCAACCAAGTAAAGACCACTTGCCTCCTCCACTGAGCCAGAATCACCAAGGGAAAGAAAGAAGTGCTACAGAACCAATGTATCTTTACCCACTGGCTTCTAGACCAGGACTTGAAGAAGCTACAAATTACCTTCTGACTCACAACACTGATCTGGCCACAAGCCTTTTGACAATCACACTCTTTCTCCACAGCCCTCAGGGGGCCTCAACTTCAGCTCTTCAGATGGTACATTCCATGAACAGCCATACAATAGCTTCAAAAGAATGTAAGAATATTGATGTCTCTGTGTGTGTGTGTGTGTGTGTGTGTGTGTGTGTGTGTGTGTGTGTGTGTTTTAAGGCAACCTGCAGGAAAATTGATGCAAAGAAAAGAAAAAGATGGGCCAGACACACAGGAGAGTGAAGAACGGTCAACCCATATGCTCTACTGCTCCCCAGGGAATATTAAGAGACAGAGAGAAAGGTCGGCAGAACCTTGGGGAGACTTCCGCTAGAGGACTGCAGGACACTGACAAGAGACGCAAGAAGGCACAGAATCCGAAAGCTGGAGGGACCCTCAGTAGCCATTAGGCCAACTTATACACGTACCGGAGCAGCTGTCCACTGCTTCTGAAGACCTTCGAATCCTTCGCCTTTTAAGGCGGCCCATTCTACTCCTTGGACAGCCCGAAGACTTAGGAAGCTTTCTCTTGCATCAAACCTTCACTTGCTTCTTTTCAATTTCCATGCACTGCTCCTGGCTTTGTCTCCTGGAGCACATTTACTGATTTCAATTACTGCCCGAGCACATTTGTGAATCCTTAGGGGTTTGCAAATATCAAGATGAGGAAGCCAACCTGGCTTCAGGGAGTACAAGCACTGTCAAATTAATGTCACCATCTTTTTTGATACAGTAACAAGACTGGTATATGGGGAAACACTAAAGACACAACACCTAGATTTCAATTTCTTAATGCTCTCTCTTAGGACAAGCAGAAGTATTAATGAACAAGCACTTGAGCTCCAAGCTTATGGATGAAACACAGAAGTATTCGTGGCTTCCTAAAGGCAGAGCACGATGGGCTGGTCCAGCTTCAACAGGGGCTACTTGACTAAGCCTTTAAAGCCAAATCACTCTCTGGCTTTCACTGAATGGCCAATAACAGCCCCAGCCCAAGCCTCTGCTGGCTCATTTTTAGGTTTCAATGGTTTATAATGTGCACAAATAGCAACTGTTTTCTGTTCTGGCCAGAGACTTTAAGGGTCTTGCCCTGCCACACCAATACTTCTGTGACTGTAAATTAGGCCATCTTTCGTCTCAGTTCTTACCTAACCCTTTGGTCACTGAAGGGGCACTGCCTCAGACAAACTGAGGCCTGGGAAAGACCTCCACTTAGAGAAGGCCAAGGTCATCCACTGCATCCCTGGCCATCATCTCCGGCCACTGCCAGTCAATGACTCTGGAGGAAAGAGCGAGACTGATGACTCTGCTCAGCTCTGCCTCATTTCAATCCAATTCATGCCCAAGTCAAGACATCACCTCGATGACATCACTGGTCCTCTTTGAGAACTGAGGACAAACAACAACAAAGGCAGAGCAGGTGGAAAGGCTGTCCGCTCATCTCTTTGTACCGATGGCTCAGTATCTGGTTAATGAAAAGGAAGGCAAAGCCCTCCTTCACCAGGAGCTTCACATCTCCAAGGTATAGTGCCATCTTGGTTACTTCTGCTGTCCTTTCCCACCTTCCCACACCAACTTCCTAACCCCCCTGTCCCCTGGCCAAGGGTGATGCCCAGGGCTGAGCTTCCTCATCACCAGTGGCTGTGTGAGCAGAGGGAAAGCAGTCTAAAGGATTACACGCTGGGGAGAAAGAAACGATAAAACCTGGCTACAGAACGGAGACGGGGGTGAGAGCACGTGAGAAGTTAAGGATGGAAGAGAGAGTGTAGTCAGGGTAACTCAGAAGACAGCGGTGCCCTCCACAGTAGCAGGGAAAAGAGAGAGGACGATATTCTGACTCTAAGGTGGAAAGCATTTTCTGTTCTGTTCTGATAGTAGTCCTGAGCTACCACCACGCTCTACATGGCCCATCAAATATTTCCTAAGACGGTTTTTAATTCTTCTGGTCTCCTCCCTCTGGCAACAGCTGCAATTTCTGTCTCCCAGTTGCACCTCCACCCGGATGTCACAAAGGTACCTCAAATCCAACACATCTTTCCCCTTAAATCCACCCTGCCTTCTAGCTTCCCTCTTTCTATCTAGAGTATCACCATTTTTCATATCACCTACAGTGACAACCTAGAGTCAGTCAACAGGTATTTTTAAGCACTTACCATGTGCCAAGCATTGTGCTAAGCTCTGAAGACAAACAGGAAAGGCAAAAGATGGAGCTCAACCTAACAGGGGAAACAACATGCAAACAACCATGTAC